CAGGTAAAAAATGATGAAAAATTTGTGGTATCTTATTTTGATTTTTATACCTGTTTTTGCAAGAGGACAAATTTTAGAGTCCTCAGAATAGGCAAGACATTGGAGCAATCTATGTAAGACTAAATACTGGGATTTGTGAGCTTCACAAGCCCATAGCAACCCACTTGGTTACTTTCTACAGGATGGCAATATATTGTTCAAAGCTGACATTTCAAGTCACATCCACAAGAACCTTTATGGATTGCAGTTAAAACTTAACCTATCTGTCCTAGCAGTGAACTGTTTACTAGGCCAGCAGTACAGGACCCAACTGGTTTCACTCTTCTTGAAATATCAGCTGTAGGTAACGGCCTAGAAGACTCAGGAGCAACTATAGTTTCAGTAATTTTCACAGTGTGTCTAGTCTTCCTTGGTACTTTTCTTGGTTCCCTTTGGATGTGAATATGTGAATACCACATACTGTAGTCAGCGCTTCAGAAAGTTACCACAATAACATAACCAGCTTCTACTACCTCAAATTTCATATTGAGGAGCCTTTCCTTTTCATATTTTGCATATTTTTCAATATATTTGACACTATATAATCTCAGAAAATGATCCCTTGCTCACCTGTTCTAGAAAACTACAACAGCTGAAATACAGAACAGTACAAATTTTGCTAAAAAGGATAATAATTTCTGATTCTTAGTTTTACATCTGTGTCCTGATTTTTGTAGTGAATTCAATAAATCTAAAACATCCAAATATTACAGAGCTTAAATTACCTGTGTTGGTTCATTTGTACATCAATCGTATGAAACCGCATATGTTTTCCATAAACTTATCTATTGAAAGTCAAGTCCATGCGAGGAATTTATGAACCCACTTGCACTCAATCAACTGCGTATTTATCTGTGTTCAAGAACACTTCTTAAGAGCATGCTCTTTCTCAGCCCTTTCTGCGGTATATTTGTCACCAGTGCCTGATCCACCAACATCATGATGCTTTTGATGAAAAGCCCCAAGTTTCCAATCTCTAACAAAATCTGAAATGAATCAAGGTTCAAACACTTATGAGTTTTATGCATATTTCACAGAACTTAAACTTGCAGCCATCTTCCTCTCCTAAAAAGAAGTCTGTACCTACATCTTTCTAGCTATGTAGTTATGAAAACGCATCTAGGGTTGCACAGAATATGAAGGAAAAATCTGAAGCAAATGACGATGGTGCAATGGTCAGAGAAGATGCCAGTGATGACAGTTGAACGTCCCTTTGCCGTCCCAGCCCCCTTCATATATTCTCAGGCATAGGATGACAAAGGGAAGTCCACGGGTCACATGAACAGATACTGTTGACATATTACACTGTCCAAATTGCCTTCTCTACCCAATCATTCTACTTAATCAATTCCTTACTTGGAGGTAATTCCTTTCTTGTAGGCCTACCAAAACTCAACTATATCCACTAACACTATAAAGAAGAAAGATTAAATACAAGGAACAAAGGAACCAATGCCTGTGGTCTGTCTGTTTTCAAAAAGCATACTGTAGAGGCAGAGCAAACCTTCAGCACCAAACAGCACGTTTAAATTAAGAACATTGCAGATTGATAGTGAACAGTAATATTCCACATGAAATCCTACATGGTCTAGGACATAATTCTTCCAGGTGTGTACTTATCAAAAGAAGAGTAAGAATATCACAAGGTGGAGCTTCACAGCCTAAGGTAATCTTTGTAAGAAACACCAGCATACTTTGGTGCGTGGAACTGACTGAGCAATGCAGAGTGATTCTTGGGCAAAATACAGAGGTTTGTTTAGTTTTGTTTGTTACGCTATGCTATGCTACACTATGCACCACGTTCATATTCTGATTCTGCTGATAGATGATTATACATGTCCTTCTAAAGAAAAACTTAAAACATTTCTAATTAATTCACAATCTTTTTAATTCAAATTAAAAACTTTTGTAAAGGCTACACATGATCATCTCAAGTAAAAAACCAATTTCTGTCTTTGTCTTTCTCCACTGCTCCAGTAAGATTATTCATATGAAGGAAAGTAGACATTTATGATGGAAAGTAGACATTTATGATGGGAGTGATAGCAATCATATTGTAAGCTTTTTAAGTATTTGAGAATAATTCAGTTAGAACAGTTCAGTTAGTAGCAACAACTACACAGGACAAGGGGTAATGGGTTAAAACTTAAACAGGGGAAGTTTAGGTTAGATATAAGAAGGAAATTCTTTCCTGTTAGGGTGGTGAGGCACTGGAATAGGTTGCCCAGGGAGGTTGTGAATGCTCCATCCCTGGCAGTATTCAAGACCAGGCTGGACGAGGCCTTGGGTGATATGATTTAGTGTAAGGTGTCCCTGCCCACGGCAGAGGGTTTGGAACTAGATGATCTTAAGGTCCTTTCCAACCCTAACTATTCTATGATTCTATGATTCGATACCACATGAACTTAATGCAAGCAGGAGGAAAGGAAAAAGGAAAGGAAGGGAAGGGAAAGGAAGGGAAGGGAAGGGAAGGGAAGGGAAGGGAAGGGAAGGGAAGGGAAGGGAAGGGAAGGGAAAGGAAGGGAAGGGAAGGGGAAGGGGAAAGGAAGGGAAGGGGAAGGGAAAGGAAGGGAAGAGGAAGGGGAGGGAAGGGGAAAGGGAAGGGAAGGGAGGGCAAGGAAGGGCAAGGCAAGGCAAGGCAAGGGAAAAGCTTGTTCTGCATGAACTTCGAATGTTTCCTTTTGATATTGAAATAGTTTTAGAAAAGTTCATCTTACTTTCAGCATTTCTAACTACAAAATGATGCAATTCAAAACCATGAATTTGAGACATCTTGTGGCTTACTGTGAGGTTGCTGGTGTGTGTTAAAATAGTCTTCACTTGTGAAAATAAAGAAGACCTGCCTTGGACATTGAACCATCAAACTGACCTCTAGCTAAATGCACAATGGAGTTACTTTGTCCTGAGCCTGCCGACTCAGACTGAGCCACAAATACAACTGTACCCTCTGTTTCCCTGGAAAGCATTTTTTAATTCCTGAATATTTGCTGTGGACAAAATAAGAGCTATGGGAGCTGTAAAAGCTGAAAAGATAAAGTGGAATCAGAATATCAATGAAATCTATGCTCTAGTCTACACAGGGGGGCATAAGGCAAGCTTTTTATCATTATCATTTAATAGTACACTCATTCAGGAAATTAGACACTGCTGAATGACAGAGAGTGATGCCATATTAGGAACAAAACTAGCTGAGTCTTTCAGAATTATCTGGCATATCTAATGACCTGATTTAATCTTAAATTTTATAAAAGAGACTGCCACTGTCCTAATCTATTTGAAGGGAATACAGTTTTGTTTGTCTTTAATATGCGAGCACAAGATTGAAATTTTCCTTTGTGAATAGTGTGTGATCCCTAATATTCAGAAGAGAGAACTGCACTGGAGAAAGACAGCTGAAGCAAAGGAATGTAAATAAGACAAAATGACAAGCCTACCATGTAAAAGTCAGGCAGGCTTAAAAATAAGAATAAAATCTGCTTTCAGCACTATTGTCCAGGGATAGGGGGTGAAATAAGAAGTTACCAACTGTTTATTTGGTTTTCTTGCCCTCTGCTCCTTTGTTTGGTGATTACCTAAAAACTGTACCTTTTCCCAGCTCTCCAGCAAACAAAAGTCTGATGCTGTCAGTATTCTTCCCCACCCCATATGCTTACTACTGGAAAATGGGAATGACACACATACATGGTTGCACACACTCCTGTCTGGATGAAGATGCCCTTATGGCAGTGACTCTGTATAGAGAGGGTGAAGGATCTCCATTGCTCTGATAGAAAAGAGGGTAAGCAAAGGCACCTGAAAGTGACCATCTGTTTGGCTGACCCAACACGACATGTGGTAACTACTCTCATCCATATGGTCACCTTTCTATTAACTATAGGCCGACCAGGACTCAGTCACCTTCTTATAAAACAAAGGAAAACAAAATGTGGCAGACACATTCCGGATGTAACTGAACCAAGACATACAAATCTTACCAGCAACCCTGCCTCTTAACAGCTCTCTCACATAAGTATTTTGAAGAAGTGTTTTGAGACCAAAGTGGTTTTAGTTTATAAGAGAGTGAGATTTTGAAGGAAGAGGTTAAATGAAGATAGAGTGCCTCAGAGAAAAGGGAAGAGAGAAGGAAAACAGATACTGCTGGCAGGTGAGGAGAGAATGATGCAGACAGAAACCAGAAAAGAGAAATCGTTCATTTTTTTGTAGGTGTTTGCAGAGGACAGGCAAGAATTTGACCTGAATCATCAAAGTTTGAAGGTTTATCCATCAACTGCTTTCCAGCAGATAAGCCTCTTGTCCAAAACTGAATTATGCTAAATCTCTCTAAAGAAATTTATTTTTTAAAATTAAGATTTCTCCAATAAAATGTTGTGCTGTAAACTACAAAATCTCACATATTTCCTATAAATGTTCTCAAAATGATTATTATTTCTGACACGGCTTCCTACAGTTTGAGTACTTCATGTATGCCATTTTAAAATGTGAATTTTTGTTGCTGGTCAACCTAGGATTAGATCATACTATCTCAAACTGCAGGATTTTATATAACTCTACGCACTTCAACCACCTCTCATCCAATATGCAAAGTACCATAAAAAGCTCTTCCTTCCTTTTTGCCACCCTTTTTTCTACCTTTACTAATTCCACTCTTTACAAAATGTAGGGAACAGAACTGTATAATGTTTTAGGGAGTTGGGGGTAGCAAAGACCTAAGCTAAACCTGAAGAGCCTTGACAAACATTGTTTGAAACTTATTGGAAACAAAATCAGCTATTTGTGCTGTGCCCAGATTCTAAAATAAAATTTTACTATCTTTGTTGAGCACTATTTGCTTTTATTAGCTCATGCTCACCACTTTAGACAGTAGAACTACTTCCCAAAATACACAGACCTTATTGCTTATTTAAACTCATAGTGTCTTTGATATAACTGCAATAGAAGAATACAAATAGAATGTTACTCACTTGTATTTATCTTCTGAAGTGAAATGTGCTTTTCCAGCTGTCTACGAAGTTTCACCTCGGCTCCATATTTACCAGTAGTCCCATTGTCAGCCAAAATAAAATGAGAATGCATACTGTTGAGCACTGTCAACTTACTCATGGGATTGGACATCGTCTGGTATGGCCGGACCACCTGCATTTTAGAGCCAGAGGAGAAAAAAATGTAATAAAGAGAAAAGACTCTCTGTACTAAACCAATTATGAGCTGCCAGCTGACAAGATGATACAAAAGAAAAAAAAAAAAATTGCTTTAAGTACTACACTCAAGCTCGGCTGTCTTCTACGTGTAAAGTAGAAAATAACCTTAGTATTTAGACCAGTGTGGCCACATCCTGTAAACACTGGCCTTTTAGATGCAGACACTATTTAAAGGGTTTTCCATAGTAATCTGTTTCAGTACCATCGATGACCACTGTTCCAGTGTCAAGTCAGGCTAACAGTCAGTCCTCCAAAGGTCTAACTACACACACATTGTACATCCTGTCTTCCAGTAGTGTTGCCATAAATCCTCACCTCATCTGACTGAAATCTTTGATTCTTCCTTTGCAAACCCTACCATGCACAATGTCCCGTTCTAGCCCATTCAGAGCCATCAACACAGGAGGTCCTTTGCATACACATCAACAGAGGTGTCTTGGAAGCTCTTGGAGAGATGTACACGCAATATTACGCCACATTTTCAATTTCCTTGTAAAAAACTATTGGCTCATTTAAGAATGGTATAGTATAAAGGCAGTTGCTGGCATTCACAACAGCTTTAGAAAGTTTCATTCAATAGAAAATTTGCTACACTTCCTTTAATTTGTTTTCATCATGAGAAACTCTTCTACTGGCAGTACCTTGTTGCCTCTAGACAGGCAAAATAATAGCACTGCATCTCATTTGGCTGTTAGCTGTTATAGTGGGTATCCCATGACATAAGAAAGACTAACTGCATTGTTGTCGCAAAAGCACTGGTGCCATGTCGAGGGATCCTGGTTGATTATTCAAAGACATTTGCTAGAAATGCATTGTTTATGTATGGCTTGTCTTTTCAGAACGGCATAACTCCTGAGGATTTGTAAAATAAAGTCCCAGCTGAGGACCAAGAGGCAGATGGCCAACAGCAAGGCAGTGCACTCCACTGTGAGAACAGGTGATAGCCTTGGCTGAAGTTTCTTTTATCCTGTTTCTTTTGGTGCCCCATTCATAAAACATTTATTTTGCAGGCATATATAGCTTAGCAAATATCAATATGTAGCTGGAATATGTTCATTAACTAGCTTCTGAAGATACAGAAATCATGTGTCCCATGCCACAGTCAGAAAGAAAAAACAGGCTCTTTCACACACACCTAAAAAACAAAAATCAAACTAAAACAGTTACAGATTTTTTGAACTAGTACCTGCCTCATCTCTCAATAATGTAATGGGCAGAGCTCAGCATGATCTAATAGAAGAGGAATGACTTGAGTTGCTCATTCATTGTATGATTACAAGCTGCTGTGTATGCAATCCTATTGACAGCTTCTGGTTTGTGCCCAAGAGCCACAGCTCAAAACTTCGCAATGGTGACAGCTTGATCTGCAATTCTTTGGTGCTGCAGCACCAACGACTCCACACACTGACTTAGAAAAGCTGCTGCAGGGCAGACTAGAAGGCTATGCTTTGGCTCTGTGTCTGCTGTTTAGCTACAAGGTGAATCTTAAATGCTATAGATGTGAAATGAAAATACAATCATTTTCAATTGAACTGTTCACAGCATGCACAATTCAACAGCTGAAATACATTTTTTTAAATAACAAATTTCACAAACCACACTGTCAGACTGTTTTCCTGATTAAAGGATAAGCAAAATCTTCAGGAAAGCAAGAAAATACCAGGCTTTGATGCTGTTTCCTTGAGGTGAATGGCTTTTCCACAACACTCAGCAGATTTTCAATTTCTCACTCTTGCAGTTCCCATTCCTTTGTTCTTTTCAATCCCTTACAATTTACAGGTAAGTTTAAAGGTTGGGAAAACTTTGACTTTAATGTGCTCTCATCCTCCTTCTGCATTGACAAGAAGGAATAATGTCCCCTGGCATGCTTCTCTGCAGAGTTGAAAGGCAGCATTTGTGTTCAAGACAACCCCTCTAAATATAGGTTAATGAATGTGACAGCAGCCATGCTTTGAAGCAGGGAAGCTGTTGTTCAAATTAAGCCTTCTTCACAGCCTTACTGTTCTGGGGTACACCAGAGAATAGAGTAGTTCTTAGTTTAATTTAGAGGATCCTGGAAGCATGATGGTCCAAATTCCCTGTGTATGCTACAAATATGCTAGTCCTCAGCTTTGCCCCAGGCATGCTTCCTACCTTGTAGCTTGCAATGAGATAGCTGAATTTCTTTTCATCTCAGCTTTCCTTATTGTAATTATTTCCTGACCCAGCCTGCAAGGGGACACTGAAATTTTGACACTGAGAAAAGGTAAAGCAAAACAAACCTGTGAACTATTTATAATTATTTGTAATATTTTCTTTTCTTTTTTTTTTTTTTTTCCCAGCAATTTGATTTGTTTTTAAAGAATAACATCTTTCTGGAAGGAATTGAAAAGTAGCTACCAAAATCAAGTCAAAATTGGTAACAGCAAATCCAGTGACAATAATATATATGTGTACACATGTCGGCTCTTCCTATCATTGTGAAGCAGAATTCACCAAGCGTTGGATTGTTCACCCACTAATAGGGAATGTGAGGTGAGATTAGACTGTCGTGAGAAAGGTTAGTTTTACCCCACTGATGCTCTGTTGCTGCAATAGTAATCCTGCTCAGTACAAGAGGAACCGCAATTTCAGACCCCTGGTGCGTGCGCTTGGCTGAGGAGCCACTGGCGCGAGGCTGCCATCCGCGGGCTTATGACTGAACGCCTCTAAGAACCCGCCTAGACACTTGTTGTGCTATTGCATCATTGGTTGCTTGTGATTGACCCAGGAGATGACAGTCTTGTTCATAATGCGTGGGTGAAGGTCTTCCCGAATTCGTTAGCAAAGACAGGCCTTCCTCACAGGAGAAGGAAAACTCCTATCTTCACACCCGGGCTGATGGAGCTCATCTAGCCTTGTATGGTCTTCCATTAAAGAGAAGGTCACTCTTACAAAACCTACGACCTGTGGACTTCACTGTCACCGTCCTAGCTAGCTAGGCCGTGGCAGTTAAACCTCAGGTGTAAAGGGTAGGGCCAGTTCTGTGCAAGCTGCGCTCCACCTAAAAAATCCACTCACTCTCACTTGTCTGTATGGACGGGACAGGGCCGAAATGGTAGGGGACAAGGTGCATGGGTAGCTGCAGATCCAACCTTGCATGCGGGCAGACCAGCACATGGGTAGCTCGAGATCGCTCAGGAGATGACAGTCCTGATTGGATACTCCCTGATTGCCTAAGCGCCCTTTTTTCCAACCAGATTTGTATATCCCATTTGCCCTTGGTCATCGTGCTTGTAGTAAGCGTGGTTAAAGCCCTTCCCAAATCTTTGCTCGTGAAGCCAAGCCATCAATATAATATTATATTATATATAAGTAATATATACTTAGTGATTACTTGAGGACTAAACAGACCCTGAAAAGAAAGATGTGCATGCTATAAAGACACCCAAAGTGCACTCTTTTAAAGGGAAGAATGGCTGTGTATGTTGGAAGAAACTTGTTTATAATCCAAGTTTTCTACAAGACTGAGCGAGCTATCTTACTTTCTCAGTTCTTCTATCAGAAAATTGGAAGTAAGGTAACTAACTACCTTTCCCTTGTGTGCTTTGTTTTTAAATTAGAATCTAAGTGTGTTGAGAGAAGCACTATTTTCTGCTATATTGCTTTTACAGTAGAGGAGTAAGATGGGTCTCTTTAGGGATCTTTAACCATCATAATATAACAAATGGCAGACAACAGTAATATTTTGCTTAGCTCAGCCAATTCTCTTTATGGCTCTGAGGAAAGCCCTTAGGATTCCCGAGGCCTGACTGATTCAGATGGACTGGGAAATGTAATAAAACTCCTCAGCTATGACTTCAAAATCTATACAGGCAAGACAAGGGCCGGTGCATTAGCAGAAGCACAGCTCTGCTGAGCATGCCTGACTTGCCACGAGGTGCAAGGAGGCAACATGCACTGGGTCATGTGAAACAGCGATAACTCCCCCCTCTTTTTCTCCCTCCCCAAATCCCACGACTAAGACAATTTTCTGTATATGCCTGATGCTGGAAGAGTTTGTTTTGACAACTCTTCACTTTTGATCATAACTTAACTAGACGTAGTGCATATAGGCATAAAGCCACACTGATGCTGGAGTTTGACAAGCCTTTTACTATTGGTTGACTTTTCCCCCCACCCTGCATAATCCTTTGTGGTCTTTGTTTCTTGCTTAATGATGATTCATTTTACATGCTTTGGTACTATTTATATTTCCCCTTCTTGGTTCATTTCACAGCATTGACCTCTAATGAGCCAGTCAATACAGTACACTTTGATTTTTAAAAAGCTTTCAAAAAGCTTCCTCACCAAATGTTTCTGAAGAAAATGCACACACAGGATAAGAGGGAAAGTCTTTTGAGGTATTAGTATCTGGGAAAAACTGAGGGGAAGGGAGAGAAAACATTAAGGAGGAAAAAATTAATTTTTGCAAAGACTGTTACTATGAAGATTTACTCACACAAGTAGTCTACCTCAAGCTGCATCACGTTCTGTTCAACAGAGTTGTAAGAGGTTCCACGTTAAGAAGAGTGTGAAAAGCTATGGACTATGAAGAGTTAAAAAAAGTCTTCATAAAGCAGCCTGAGTAGGCTATAAAATGGAAGTTGAAATTTAATATTGGTAAGCATAAAGCAGTATCATTATTATGTGCATTAAAGATGAATAAAACCAGAACTGCTTCAGCATTACATCATGCTATTGATCAATCATTTTATGAAAATAATTGGGGCCAGGAGGCTTGGTAGAAAAACTTCAATTTTGTCTATCACAGATACATTTCAGAACTATTTAGAGATGAACCTGTAATTGTAATCCTACTGATATAATTGTGGCTGCCTTAATGAAGACTATCCAAATTTGTTTTCTTTATGCATTTTTAAACTTTTGCCACTTTCTGTTTGATGATCAAGTTTGCCTTCAACTTCTTGGCTTCCTGTTAAATTGGAAGGATATTTAAAGGAAAAAGTGTCTTAATGTAACAAGAAACTGGGGGGGGGTGGGGGGGGTGGGGGTGTTCCATTTGGATGGAACAGCTGAGAAACTGTTTTCTTAATTAATTTCTTTCTGTAAGAGAGCTCCTTTAACAGGTGGTGACTAGCTGTGAACAGAGGCTGCTAGTTTTTGAACACGTGGAACTAACTAATGGAGAAATTAAAAAGTCCCAAAATTCACAACTAATTTGATGTACTTTCTTGTCTTCTTTCTTCCTACAAAGCTTCCAGAACTCTATGCACAGTCAGTAAAGACTGCTTATTTGAAATTGATGTGTACATTATACTTAGGTAACAAGACACACCTCGTCTTTGCAGTTAGCTATTTCTGCTGGTCATTTCTTTGCACTGCATCTTAGATGAGTTTATTAGTGACTCAGAATTGCTGCTGCAAAGTCCTGTCTGTATATATTGGTAATCCTATTATACAAGCACTGGTGGTATTAAAAGTAGAAAACCCCATGGTAATACAATTCCCTCTAATGGCTGTACTTTAACAGTGAATTGCAGTGAATTCCAGTTGGATCAATTTCTTCATACTCATTGTAATTCCTTCTGACATAACTGATAATTGAATGTTCTTCCCCACCTGAGCTTGCTAATGGATCCAGAGAAGAATATTGTAGTGTAATGTAGACAAGAAAAACGTTCATTATGCAGAATGAAGCCTATGCCTCTTTTCCACTCAAGTTATCCCACTGGTTCTCAGGAAGATTGTTTGTGAATGAACTAGAGGTGAGGGTTAAAAAACAGGGTTCATAGAAGCTTTAGGTAACATATAACCAGCATAAGTAAACTGCATATGTACTTAAAATAGGAGAGGTTAATCTTTCTGAGTGATCATATAGGTTTAAAAAAGAACACATTATGGTACTGTTTCAAAATGAATCAGACTTTAAGCTTTGCAATCAGTGTTTTCTTAGGCACTTTTCAGGGTCATAGCGTTCTAAGAAGGAAACTTCAATGTATTTTCAATGAACTTTTTAACAAACTTTCTTTATAATTTAGTTTTAATGACTGTACATTGTGGGATTTTTTACTGTTCCTGTGTCAAAATGGATATCAACCATAATGGAAAGCCTGTATATGTACTGATTTTTTGCTGCAGATGTAATTCTATGTGAGGGACGGAGAGGAGAGGAAAAACAGCTGGAAGACTTATATAGGGCTTACATCTTTGCCAATCAGATCCTCTTGATTTTCCACAATCCCCCAGGGAGCGATACCAATGGTGCAGATCTTCCCTCTAGATTTTGAGGCATGATCTTTCAGTGCATCTCCGACATGCCGAATGACTCCTGGGGAAGAAACAGCATAGAGCAAAAATCCATAATTATGACCTTTTTGTTCATTATGGTATGGATTTAGTACAGAATTCTTTTTTAGGAAACACCCGTGCATACACTTACAATTAAGGAAAGCCATGAATATACTCCTGTTGATTATTATTACTGTAACATTGTAAGTCTATTTTACCTAATCTAAAAAATATTAAATGAAGTAGAAAGAAAAAATTACACAGCTCTAGGGACAGGAATAGAAATGTTGACAGCTGACTGTAACTTGTTTATCTGCACTTGTCTTCACAAGTATATATGCACATGTAAGCATTTGCATCCTTCCCTAACACAGAAAGAAGCACAAGAATTACACCCTCCATCCATCCTGCAAAAAAGAAAAAAAAAAAAGTATGGCACATAAATGTTCCCTTCTGTCTGACTAAGGGATGTAAATGTGAAAACATCATTACACTACCCTGTGGTGAGCTAGTCTACCATTCTTTCCAAACAAAGTCACCTGACATAGCTTCCAGCAGGGTATTAGAAGCCGCCTGAGGATCAGCGAGAAAACAAAAATTAGCACAGAAAGAATGACTGTGCCAGCTCTTTTCCAAGTGCTTTCTGAGAATGCTTCTTGTATGCTTTAGGACAGCTTTGTCACTGTTTCAGTGGCATCTCTTTGCAGCAGACAAGTGTCATTCCCCTTTCTTTTTCATAAAATACTTTTTTTAGCTGTGTATCAATAACTATTTTTGTGATGTGGCTGCACTGAAACAAAACTGTGGATTGGCTGTGGATGTTATCTGTAACTCAGTTCTGTGTTTGCTTCTTGTTCGAAGTCCACACTTTCAAGATGACTAGATTGGACTTAACAACAGTCACACAATAGGTGTGTTTTCAGCTGTAGTTTTTCTGCACTGTAAATGAACCATGTAAGAAAACACAACTTACTCTTTAAGTCCAGGAGTCTAATTTCCTTCTTGTGGTGGAAAAGTAAGAAAAAAAACCCAACCAAACCTGTACCTGTAATCGAGTATGAATTAATCTACGATCCAGAAACCCAAAGGATTCAAAACAGGAAATCTCTCTTGACTATGAAAACATTCTGCAGCTTAGAATCATCAGCTTTCTGCCTGACATGAATATTCAGAACAATTTGTTTAAGTTACTGAACAGTCATGTATGCACCATTCCTATCAGATCACTGATTCTCAGTCCAACAGCAGTATTTCAGAATTTTTCAATTATACTTTTCCGTAACAGAAATCTGATTTAAAAATCCATCATCAACAAAAAAGCCTGTACTCAGAACGTTCCAATTTGTGTGATTTCACATAGAGATAAAACACTTAATTTTCACCTACACAGTTTGAAAACCTAGCCCCAGAGCAATAAACTGCTGTCCTCCAGAAATCAAAACCAGAAATGAAGTATCACTGGTGATGCAGAACTGCTTCTAGAACTTCATGTTTTTAAAATGACACTCAGCAACTTGAGCTTTATTGTTTTATTTAGGTAATTTTTGATTACAGGGAAAAAAATCCTTTTCAGCTGTAAATATGTGTACTTCCCTGGTTCATTTGTATTGTTTCGTCATTTGCAACTATGATGATATAAGAAATGGTATGAAGCAGATGTGCATTTGCCAAATGCATGTTACAGTCAGCCCTTGTTTAGAAGATTTCTGTAGTCTGACTTCCACAGTTCCTATGGTAATCCACTGCAATAAGCATACATTATCTACAGTTTTCTAATCTGCTTTTAACTTAGAATTTATATCTGCCATCTTCAGTACACTACTATGTCAACTAACATAACTATTAACATCACAGTATACAGGTCAACATTTAACCTGACTTTCTTGCTTGTTCTGCAGAGATGTGGGGGATATTCTACATATGTGACACTCCAGAAGCTATGCCTTTTTTCTGCTATTTATACTGGTACTGTGATAAAACTGAATATAGTTTTGTCATGGTTTAAGCCCAGCCGGTAAATCAAAACCACACAGCCATTCACTCACTTCCCCCTTTTTCCCCCCTGCTCCCAGGAGGATGGGGACGAGAATCAAAAGAATGTCATTCCCACAGGTTGAGATAAAAACAGTCCAATAACTAAAGTATAATACAAAACTACTACTACTACCATCAATAATAATAATGATAAGAGAAAAAACAAGGGGAGAGAATATAAAACTAAAAAGGGAAAAATACCCACAATAAACATAAATGATGCACAATACAGTTGCTCAACACCTGCTGCCTGATATCCAGCCTGACCCAAGAGTGATCTGGGCCTTCCTGGTAACCCACCCGGTTTATATACTGGGCATGATGTGCTGTGGTATGGAATACCCCTTTCACTAGTTTGGGTCTGGTGTCCTGTCTCTGCTTCCTTCCAGCTTCTTGTGCCCCTCCTCACCGGCAGCATGTGAGAGACTCAAAAGTCCTTGACCAGCGTGAGAGCTACTTAGCAACAGCTAAAACATCAGTGTGTTATCAGCGTTGTTCCCAGACTAAAGTCAAAACACAGCACTGCACCAGCTACTAGGAAGGAGAAAAATAACTGTTACAGCTGAACCAGGACAAGTGTTAAATTTGATGTGCTTTGGAAACTAAAAAGCCCAAGACTCCTATTAAGCATTCATATTCAAATATGTAGGACCTGCCTAAAATGCACTAAATATAATGTCTGATAGAGTGATTACAATATTTTCCATAGACAACAAGAAGATACAGTCTGTGCGATTAGTAAATTAATAAATTATAGCTTTGTTACTGCAGCAAATGAGAATAACGTAAGAATCTACTAATACCTGTCCCAGCTCAAAACTTTTTGCATTTATCTCTAGCAGAACTGTTTGACTTTCTCCTGAATCTGTCCTTCTTTCTGCCTCTTCCAGGGAGGGTAAATGGGAAGCCACTGCTCAACCTTTTCTATCTGGGGAACCATATTTTGCAACTTATTCCCAAAACCTTCATGCTTTCTCCCAGCAGAGCTGGGCCAGCTGCTATCTTGGGTCACTAGGACACCCACCTAGGATGTTACAGATGTTCTTTGAGTACAAATGGTGAAGTTATTGTTCCTGCTGCAGGGGCAATAGAAAAAAAAAATAAAATAGGTCAAGCTGTCTACAAGAAAGGGAAAAAAAAAAAAAAAGTGATACTTCACAATAAAGTTTTCTACCACATCCACAACACAGAATCTTTCTTCTTTTCATGTTTCAGATCATCTTATAAGGTAAAATAGAGGTCTTTTCTGGATGAGTGTTTTTTCCATTTTATGTAATAAGAGTTCGACTTCAGTTTCTCATTAGTAGTTCCTCCCTGTAGCTTACTGTTGCAAAGTCTTCACTGGCAATATACTAATATAATTGCCTTACGGGAGGCTTTACTTTCAACTCTCCAGTGTGTTTTTCATGCTTTAGCAAACCTTTTATTCTCTGGCAGTTCTCAGGCTAGTATGAACTTGACATTTTTCTTGTTTGCACATAGTACAGCCAACACTAATACAATAAAATACAGAATGGCTTCTTAATCTCATCAGTCCTGATTTTTTTCTGTGACGAACTCCTAGAAGCCACACTGCTTTCATTTCAATGTTGCTGTTACCTGTGTTTACTCCTCCAGTGAATATCCACGCTCCGGTTGTCATAGCAGCCTTAATGAGGCCTTTTCCAAAGACTTGCTTGAGTTTTGGCTGAAGTTCAAAATTCTGAAGGCCCCCATGCACAGAGATGAGAAGTTTAGGGAGCTCAAGCTGCCACTCTTTGGTCATCAGATGCAGAAGAAGGTCAGGCTTTGTGTCAAAAGACACACGTACATACTGCAGGAATAAGGGCAGTAGTGAAAGAGAAAGAAAGAAAGAATGGTTATACACATGATGTATGCAAATGGATCACTGAAAACAGGCAGCCTTTATGACAGAAGCACTAAGTAATTGCTAACTTCATGATTTTTCAACAGTTATGAAAGTAGGCAACTAGGAATCATGGAATACCTGCAATTCATATGCTGGACAGTTTTTCTTTATTTAGTCATTGACTGTTTCAATATGCTTAGCAATGCTTGAAAGATGTCTTTAACTTACTGATCCAAAAGCTGGAGCAAAATTTAAGTGATTGACCAAAGATGACCTAGGTAGTCAAGAGTCACAACTGTGTATTCACTTGTATCTTATTTTCAAATTGACAAGTCTGTTGTGGTTTAAACCCAGTCAGGTAATTCGTTCGCTCACTTCCCCCCCCCCCCGCTCTTGGAGGGATGGAGAGGAGAATTGAAAAGAATGCAACTCCCACAGGTTGAGATAAGAACAGTTTAGTAACTAAGGTATAACACAAATCACTACTGCTACCACCAATGATAATAATGATAAAGGAAATAACAAGGGAAGAGAATACAACACCTCAGCACCAGCTGACCGATAACTCGCCCCCCAAGCCCGACCAAGCTCCGACCGATACCTCCTCCAACCCTGCAGTCTCCCAGCCCTTCCGGCTAACTCCCAGTTACATCCTGGGCATGACATGCTGTGGTATGGAATACCTCTTTGGTCAGTTTGGGTCAGGTGTCCTGTCTCTGCTTCCTCCTGGCTTCCCCTCCCCCCTGGCAGAGCATGAGGCTCACAAAGTCCTTGGCCAAACCAAAACATCCTTGTTATCAGCTCTGTTCCCGAGCTGAAATTCAAAACACTGCACTGCACCAGCTACCAAGAAGGGGAAAAATGACTGCTACTGCTGAACCCAGGACATTATCCACCCCTTATTCCATACCATTCACGTCATGCTCAGATCCCACATTTTCAATATACCATCACTCTTATCTCAGTGCACTCTTATCTTAATGCATGGACCAGTCCCTATAAAGCTGCTGAGTCCATCTGGTCCATGATGTCAGGCTCCATCTCTTGTAACAGTCTTCCAGAGCAGGAGAGACTGTGTGCAGTGTTCACACTTGTGAATAACCTGGGCAATAGTGTCCATTGCTAAGTCCACCCCTCGATCATGAGTCCATCTGTATGTTGCATCTCTGCTCTGATGGCCTGAAGTGCCATGGGCCCACCAGGCTTAAAATAATTCACTGTCCCCTTAAGCAGTTTCTGCAGCTTGTTGCTGGGGACTCCATACAGCTGCCTTCCATCTCCGACGCTTCCAAAGCACTGGAGGGGCCCAGTGGACTAGATACTTGCCCATACTGTCCCACACACCCTGCCACTCATGACTCTCCAGCCTTGGGGAAAATCTCTTGGTCCCCCTATATCGTCGTCTAACCCCAGACAAGACCCAAACCTGACTCTGCTTAACTTTTGAGATCAGACAAAATGGTTGTGGGTAGAACACAGTCTGTGTGTGTGCCAACATGCTGATCCCCATCACAATCAGCAGGCAGGTCCCAAGGATACCCAAAGGCCATTCAAAACCTCCAGAACTCTCAAACGATGCTGCTGTACTTGTCACTGGGGCTGGTGTAGCTGCTGTGCTTGCCGGCTCTCCCACCACCAGCTTCTCTTTTCCTGAGTCCAGCTCTTCCTCCTCTGCCTTGCTGGGAAATGCTGCGTTGTCTCCTGCATCCTCCTGGGGCTCGGCAGGCGGCTTCCGGGAAATGCTCTCGGCCGTCGCGCGGCTCGGCTCCGCCGCGGGGCTCGGCTCCTCCGCCGCCTTCTCCCGCTGCTCGGCAGCCGCTTCCTTCCTCTCCTCGACCGCCCCGACCTCCTCCACCGGCAGCCGTCCCCTCGCGGCCTCCGGCCCCGCTCCCGCCGCCGCTTGGTCCCCGGGGCCGCTCTCCCGGGCCGCTTCAGCAGCCGCCGGCTCCCGGGGCCGCTCCCCCTCGGCTCCCCGCAGCCTCACGAAGATGGAGAGTAGGGTGAGGGCCAGGACGGTGAAGAGCAGCCGGACGGCCAGGTACAAGTCCACGGCCACGTCCGTCCCACCCTGCTGCTGGAGCCCGCCCGTATTAGAAGTCATTGCCATAAAGCACAGTGAGACAAGAACCTTAGCCCAGGCCCCACACTTGATGAACACTAACACAGCAAATACCGGCTCTACGTAAGTTACAACATTCTGAAGCTGTGAGATCAAGAGAAACAACTCTGAGAGCCAATAAATCGTCATTGTGATGAGTGACTATTAATCCGGTCAGATCTGTCGTTATCTCAACCCTTCGTGCCCCATGTTGGGCGCCAAAAAGAAACTGTTGTGGTTTAAACCCAGTCAGGTAATTCGTTCACTCACTTTCCCCCCCCCCCCGCTCTTGGAGGGATGGAGAGGAGAATTGAAAAGAATGCAACTCCCACAGGTTGAGATAAGAACAGTTTAGTAACTAAGGTATAACACAAATCACTACTGCTACCACCAATGATAATAATGATAAAGGAAATAACAAGGGAAGAGAATACAACACCTCAGCACCAGCCGACCGATAACTCGCCCCCCAAGCCCGACCAAGCTCCGACCGATACCTCCTCCAACCCTGCAGTCTCCCAGCCCTTCCGGCTCACTCCCAGTTACATCCTGGGCATGACGTGCTGTGGTATGGAATACCTCTTTGGTCAGTTTGGGTCAGGTGTCCTGTCTCTGCTTCCTCCTGGCTTCCCCTCCCCCCTGGCAGAGCATGAGGCTCACAAAGTCCTTGGCCAAACCAAAACATCCTTGTTATCAGCTCTGTTCCCGAGCTGAAAGTCAAAACACAGCACTACACCAGCTACCAAGAAGGGGAAAAATGACTGCTACTGCTGAACCCAGGACACAAGTCAAACTCTCCAAAGGTAGGAAACAGCAGGAAAAAACCTGGTTGTTCAAGCACAGGTAAATTTAAACTGAGCAAGACTTCTGAACAGGTACTTGTCAGATGAATGACATAAGAGTGATTTGTATAGATTCATGAATCTGCCTAACAAGGTATAGGACCAGAAAGTGCTATGGAACACATTTACACATTTGCAGCTCTTGGCTTTATTCTGTACATCTGTAGCATTTTCTCCAAGGTAGATCACGCCCATCTGTGTGATCTCAAGGATAACAATCGTCTTCAAAATTGCTACAACATTAGCATGTCACATACACCTGTCTTCCTGACAAGCCTATCTGGGCTCTTTCTCCTGCTCTTTCTGTTGCTGACGTATGGTTTCACAAAGCCCGTGACAGATGATTTTTTTTTTTTTATTTTAGTTACATAGCAGATATGGGCCATAAGAGGATAAAATTCTCTCTATAGATGTTAAGATCTGGAAGGACCCTTTTAATTGAACAAAATAGGTTACAGAAAGCCACTCGTCTGTCAAGCTTCTGATTGAACCAATGCATATAGGGTTACTTCAGCAGTCCTTCCCTTGATGGGTTGTGAGCACAGCCACCAGGCAGATAACACAGGCATCTTTGCTTTCAGCCAGAGAAATCCCTAGTTCCAGCTTATTTATTGTAACATGCCAGGTAGTTTAATATCCATGTATATTATGTAATCATTTTGTCCCTCTTTAACACCATCAGTATTTATTTCTTGCCAAGCGATTGTTATCTTTTAGTAAATCATATGACAGTAAAGTGGGCTCCTTTCTAGTTGAGTGAGAAATAAGGACCTGACTTTTCCAGAATTCCTGATAGGTTTCTTCCCAAGAATGGGCTGTTGCACTGTTAATAGGTGTTCTTAACATTTCTGGAAGCAGAAGCCTGTTTGGGCAAACAGTCACAGAGAAGCAAGGGGGGGCACAGCCAGACTGCAAGCTGAGCAAGAACTTGGAAATGCATATTCAATCCAGTGAATCAGTAATGTCCTCCGCAGCACCAAGGCAGCTTTATAACAGCTAATGGACAAAGAACATACAATATTCAGGTCTGGCAAGACCATACTGTAATCTTGAGCTTCTATACACATGAACTGCATCCTCAATAGTTATCCATTCAATTTTCTGTGTGGAAGTTGAGAAAAACCTCGCATGGCACCTGATCCCACTGACTAGATGGTGAAGCTAACAATTTTGGTTATGATTGGATGGCTGTCACAGTTTTAACACATTAGTGGAGTTGTCCGGAGACTGATTCTTACTCCTTTTGCCCTGACCTTAGGAAGATCTGAGGTTGCAAAGGGCCATCCCTTTAGGGGGCCTACATGAAAACTTTGCTGGTCAAACTGTGTGGATTACATTTTGGGACCACAGGTAATTTACTCTGTTTCACGGTAAAGACTGACTGGGAATTTTAAGAAGATAATTACAGTAAAATCATATTAATAGTGGCCATACAAATTTGATGAAAATCAGAGGCTACTGCAGAGTAGCAGACTACTGCATCATCCACGATGGTATTAAGATGAAGGCACAAATGGCATCAGATGTGTAGTATCTAATCCAGACAGTGTGTTTTTTTTATTCATTAACACTGTTTTACAACCCAGAACGTGTGACTTCCCTGACCCTACCTTCTTAAGCCCATGTATTAATTTTATTATCTACTAAGATGTCTGGATTTCAATAACTAAAATCTATATAGTGAATCACAAAGTTAGAACTATTTACTTACATTTATTTGAAATGTAGCCAATTTTAATTGCAAACAACTACTTGTTCTTTATACTGCAGGCAATCCCCCTCTATGCTTATAAGAATTAATTTTACTTCATAAAGAGTAAATTTAAGCAAAAATAAATCTGAGAGTTCTTTTCATGGAAATTAAAATTTAAATCATCATGGGTAAACTTTACTGTTTCAGAAGGGCAATGGCATCAAATGTGATTTTCCTCCTGTGCATAAACCTCAATTTTTATGACGGTCTACTCCATTTTTTTGCTCTTACACAGTCTATTTTCAGTTTGGTACACTTGGGGTGACTCTTGCTGTTAATATGTTAACTAGTAAGTACAAAATAATTCTTTTGTCATCCCTTTCAAAGTATGCATTAAATTAAAAAGAATCACTTCTAACACTGGTTTTATCCATATTAAAAATCAATTTTTTCAATCTTGTGGCAGAATATCTGGCCTTTTCATTTTTTTTTGTTTAGAATATTAATGAGTATTTCTGCAGTACCTGATTTTTTTTACTACAGCCTCCAGAGGCAGATTTAATACGTAAATGTAAATTTCAGCTAAACAACAGCTCTGGTATCCTGAAATTCCATGTCAGGTGTATTTGCCAGCTGCAGACATGATCAGTTCTAATGACAAATGATTCAATCCCTTTTTTATGGGAGTGGTACATGGCTAGGATGCAAGACTTTTGTTGTTATATGTCAGCAGAGCAGGGCAAGATAGGAAGCAAAAATACTGTTTTAACCACAAAACTTACAGACTGACCTGACACATCAGGATAATGCTCTGAAATGATAAATCATCATGTTCAAGCTGTCATGCCTGTTTGATCCCTAAACAGAAGTAGTCAGCAAGGGCACCATTGGATGCCAATAGTTGTTTTATATTTTTCACTGGTTTTCTAAAACATAACTGTTTCCATCACCAACCAAATAGCCAGATGCTTGCAAGCTGGACTCCAGTGCCCTAGGGAAAAGTCAAAGTTCCTGAGCTGTGTAAAGAGAATGTACTCTGTTACTCAGGTACAGATGTCTCATTAAAGTACATGATGAGTGACTGCAGATGATGGTATCAGTGAATAAAATTGAAAAGATTCAGAATTTTACGGTATTTCTTCAAAGAAAATATCTTCAGGGAACATTTTGTGATCTGCACTCTAAGGTTGCTCTTTTGTTTCATTCTGAAGCATGCAGGTGCTGGGTGGTTATTTCACCTACCTTAATTAAGTTTCCATCACTGCAGACTCTTCTTCAAGTTAAAGAATGATTCCCTTAAAAGTATGACCTTTGCATAAAAAATAACCCTGATGTAATTCTCACAGAACTCAACAGAAAAACTGTCATCTAGACTGAAACGGGACTGGTTCCTTTCCCCTTTTTCTCCAATGCCATCTTTAAAATTCCTTAAATGTTCTTTAAGCGTTAATTTACTATGAGAAAAACAGTATTTGCTGCCTTTTTCATGGTTCGTACAAGTTACAGGATTGTCTTTTTTTTTATTTCAAAAGCACTGATAGCTTTTAAGCTCCTTTTTACAGTTTTGATAATAATGACTTCTTTTTAAAGCAGAAATATACCTTTTTATATGGCTGATTTCTAAATATCCTTAATAAATCATAAAGTTATGATGATCTGAATATTAGAAAGTCTAAGAAACTTTTAATGTACAATGGAATTCTACTGATGTTCATTCATGTTTCATGTACCATAAGAAAGCTTAGGCATCTGACACTGAATTTAATTTCTTCTACAGCTGCAAATGCAAACAGAAAAAATGTTAAATGTTTCTGAAACATTAATGGAATGAGCCTCTTTTAAAGAAAATAAGAGCTTGTTAGAGATCTAAAATCACGTGTTGTTGCTGGATCATTTGTGGTTAGATGAAGACTGAAAGACCCCTTAGTAAACCCATCTTGTTTACCAGTGTTATCTAATATTGGCTACACAGTTCTATATAACCTGCTGCATTCTCAGCTATTCACATTATTGATTTAAGTAGCTTAGTGATGCCCCAGTGAAGATACTTTAACTACTTTAACAAGTGGTATTAGCAAAACTCATGCTGTTTGACAACTTTTGTTTTATGTGGCTGTGGGAAGGAAATTAATAGCACAGTCAGTTCTATTGGCAATATGTAAACGTGCATTGTCTTTTCTGTTTTGTTCCAAATCCACATGTTCTATTATAATTTCAGTATGATTTTCATTTTCACAGCAAAAATACCATTGTTAACTGTCTGGTGGCAACTGATATAATATTATATCACTGCACTTGTAGCTTGCAAACATACATGCAAAGTATACGTATTATCAAATTTGTACGTGTATTATTAAAATCAAATTCTGTTACTTCCAATGGAAGAAACAATTATCTGTCAGTCACACTAATTTTATTAACTACCAGTTTTCCAATTATAAATCTGAGTTTTTCATTAATAAATCCCACCTAATACCTTATAATCTGATTCAGAAATAATTGCCAATTTTGCTGTAAGCACAGACCAAGATAATAGTACTCAGTTCTGTTTCCCTTGCTTAATAATTTTCAGGTGTGGGCATCCAATTCAGTAAATAAATAAAGGAACAGGTGGCAAATTTTATGCCAAATTCTTCCCCTGTGGATTTTCTTGATGTAGGTCAGCTTACAAGATTTTGCTCCTTTTAGAGTTATTTCATTACCTAGTAGGCACAATATTAACCTACCATGATTGTCAGCAAAAATCAGCTCCTATGCTATAGTGATATTTGATTTCCAATTGTAAGAAAATAACCAAGTAGCATACTTTTAGAGAATACACATGTCCATGTATCATGCTTCCTTGCTTCTCTGCTTTTGAGTTTGAAAATATACTGCCTGAACAAGAATATTCCCAAGATTTATTATGTACTTGTTCCTTTTTCCAAGCCTTAATTTTTAAGATAATTTAAAAGCTCATTTTTCCCTTCTCTGCTGGCAAAGTTGGTTGGTTGCTTTGACTGAGAAAAATATTGCCTTTCACAGGAAGATTTTGATTTGGCAAGTTGTATTTATTGTGGGAAAGACCTTGTACCCAGTAAATTCAGAGATAGGAGATTCATTCTTTCGACTGATAAAACTGCAACAAATAGTTAGGCAGCTCTTTTGACTATAATCTACCCTAAAATAATGTTTTGAGCTGGAAATATGACCATAAAAACACCTTCATACTGTTTTCAGTAACAAACACACCATATTATAAAAAGCTATTTTGTTTCCATTTAAAAGAAAAGCACAATTACTAGTTATGCAAAACTCCTTATTTGTGTTTTTGTCAAATGAGAGATACTTTTCTCATTGGTAGTGTCCAAGACAGGACACCAATTAAAAAGAAATTTAGTGAATTGTTTAATTTGAAGCACTTTTCCGACCCGAGGGATGACTGAATTTCTGGAGCTTTTATAGGCTTATTTAATTAATTTAATTAATTTAATTATTTAATTAATGAAGAATTTGGTTGTTCTCATTTTTCAGGTGGAATTTGACAACTAAGAACAGATGGCAGAAGCAACTATCTTCCTGATTCTAGTACTATCAAAATAAACTCACGGGTTTTCCAGCAATAAATGTTTTGTCCGTACTGATCTCTAAGTCTCAGATTTTTAACCATTTTTTCTTTTCTGTTTTTCTAAATTCTCCATGGTTTCATTCCTGACTGCACTCTGTGACAAGATTTTTCTTTCTTTCATGTTGACTTCCAGTTTCATCTTCACAGTTTCACCCCAAGTATTTTTTTTTTTTTTTGAGCACACAGCATATACCTTGTTCTCTTATGCCACTGTGCTAGGACACCAAAATCCCAACAAAGAACAGAAATCCTCTACAGAAGTTGGCATCAACAGCTTTCCTAAACCCTTCATCATTTCTTGGCTGCCCAAGACTACTTTAGTCTGGGGAGAGCCGTTTATTGGTTTATAATGATCTTCAACATGACTCAAAAAGCTCTAGCGATTACTCTTTTTCATAAAGACAGATTTAATGCAAAGTATCCATATATGATTAATAGCATGATGGCTACTACATCTCTGAATATTACTCAGTTTTGGTGAAATCATTCTGTTTTGTTCCCACTCCTTGTGAAGATACCAACAAGGAGTGGGAACGGTTTGGTTCATTTTAGTGCTGAGGGAGGTGTCAATTTATTCACACTAAGCAAATGTTATTTACTGCATTAGAGTCTCTCTCTAGCAATGGCTTTGCAGATTTTTAGATGAGTGGTTAGCAACAGAACATAAGGTGCCTGTGATACTCTCAGAGAAATGACCTAATTTTCTATCTATTTCTTGGTACAAAAGTTTTTTCTGGTTTCTATCAAAACAAGCCTTCCATCTGGGTGAGAAGAACTGCCCATTTAAGTAATCATTCCATCTCCAGCACATATGCATGTATCCAGGGAAAAATATTTGGCTCTTGCTAGCACAGTACGTGAGTTTTGTATTATCTGTAATCCATCTATTACCATGAGAGATCTGAGAGACCCCTTGGGAAGGATTCAGGCAAAGAAGATGGTACTGGGTTGCTGGGCAGGTTATTCTGTGCAGCACACAGAGGGTCTGTTTCTGCCCTTACTGCTGTCCAAAGCAGTAGCTTGGCCACAGTCTACTAAGTATGCACGCATTCATTCCCTAAGTCCCAGGTTCTGCAGTTTAGACAAAGCCAGAGAGATTCGTCCTTTCATGTAATGACACATAGAAGAAATACATGCATGGGTTAGTGTGGGTGCTGGAAACATCTCTCCACCTTAGTGCAGCAATGCCTTCAGATTAATATATTTTGGTATAGCTCCACAGCATAATATTATGATTAAGTGGCTTGCTTAAGGAAATCTGTGGCAGAATAGAGATTTCCCAGTTCCTAGCTTGGACACTTATTGGGATGAACCAGTAAGTCTAACTGGTCTACCTTCTGATATATGTCTGGAGGCACATTAAAATAAATTTGGTATGTTTCAAATTTATCAGTCTTGCAGACAAAGCCAGCAATGGAAAACCACAGTTGAATTCTAAAATTATTCAGAAAAAGAGGGAAAGCTAACCATTGGAAGAAAATTGAGATAGCAGCACATCAGCATGTCTTCAGTCTTCATAACAGTAGCCCCTCTTATGCTGCACTCCAGCTTTTGCAGTTAATTCTGTTCAGCAATTCTTTGGTACATGATCATAAAAACATATGGTTTTATGTCTTACACTAAATAGCATTTTAAAATGAAATTAATAAAGAATGCTGTTAATTCTTCGTGAATGACTTTTTTGAGCTAGCAGCATTATTTAAGAGAAAAACATGGTTACCATGGCTTTATTGGAATGGCCTCCTCCTTGGAACTCAATGGTTCCAAAAGCGTCCGTCGGACTGAGCTGTGTGTGCTTGCTGATGGACCACTTCTCCGACTGGATGTCATTGCGAGTAAGCCTGCTTTCATTTTTCTCATTCTGAATAACAGAGATGCTTGGAGTCAGTCCAACATGTTGACCTATTAGACGCCCACAGCAACACCTATGACATTAAACAAACAGAAAACTTCAGTCATGTGCATGTATAAACCGAACAGAGAAACAATCTTAAGCAGCCTACCACTCTTTAAAAAAAAGCCAAAACCTTTTCAACTCTGCTGCCCGGTTTCTTGCTATACGAACTCTCTGCTTGTAGAAGCAACATACTACCTTTTCTTTCTATGATCTTGTTTACTTTGGACTTTCCTTTATTTCAATAACATCATTCTGTTCTAAATATGCACAAAATGAAGGTAAGGCTTTCTACAGTCTTCAGCTGATGTAAGGCCAAATAAACAGTTTTTGCATGGAGTTGAATTTTAAGTTGGTAGTTCACGGCAATTATTTTCTTTTGACAGTATTGTGTGTCATGCATCCAATTTAAGTAAATACTCAAGCCACTGTATATTGAACTAAGAAGATAAGGAAATCAAACACAGATACTGATTCACCTTTGATTTCTTTGTTGGTTTGTTTTTTTTTTAAATAATTTAGGATGAAATAAGTTTTGAACTGACACTACTGTGTCTCCAGGAATCCATCACTCCAGATGTAACCCCACCACCTTCTGACCAAGTAAGTACAAACTATTTATCTTCATATACATATATATGCATATATAGAGAGAGATATTTTCTTGCAACTGACTTTCATTTGTCATACAAATAGAATGCAATTACCTATGGGGGTCTTTGGTGCTGGGTATGATATGAACACATTCTCTCTTGTAAAATGCTCTTTCTATCCATGATTTCTGTGCCTAAAAAAAAAGGAAACACCATGAGCAATGTTTGTTTATTAAACACATTTCCTAGTACAACTGAAGAGAATCTACAAACATGAAAGAAAACTTCACAGATTTTGCAGATATGCAGTACGCATTCTGTACAGAGCAAACCTTTTCCATTGGAACTGCAGTTCCCTTCTAGAGTTAAGCACCCAACAAAAACTCTTAAAATTGTTCTCATATTCACTAGGCAGATGACTTTGATGCTTGCTGTCATCTATTGGCTCATAGCAGGAATCACTGGAGAAGAACTGATTCAAACTGCAAAGATTTCTGCATGGAAAAACACACTTATTCACTGAAAATACTTAAATCTATTTCCCTTCTAGTGATGAAATTAAGTCAGCTCTAATTAAAAAAATAATAAAAATCCTAGAAACTAGAAAATAAGCATCATACAATAAAACTTTTGATACCATAATACCAAAGAACTGAGATTGCTGTTTAACATGGAGCCAGAAGACAGTTTCACAGGTGGACATGTTAATGAAAAAAAAAAAAAGAAAAAAGATCTGTTTCTGAAACCAGGCACAACAAACTTTGATATGCTAAGAGTCAGATGACCAGCTGATGTAACCTCTAAAACTGAGTTCGATGAAGCTACACTCCGTATCTTCCCTCACATATTTGCAGGAAATCAAGTCATTTTTCTCAAAGCAGTCTTAATTTTTGGATACACAAGAGATCTTTTTTAAAAAAAATCATGGGTAGGAAAGAAAGAAAAAGAGACTTTCAGAGCTCTGAATTCTTTTAGTTATCTAGATAGTTCTCACTCCATACAATATGAATTCTGGCAAGCTCTCTAAAATATTTCCCCAGATAGAATTCAACTATTTCATTTAATAAGGATACAAGTTGAAACTTTCATTTAAAAATTCATTTCAAACAGGTAAGTTTTAGATTACATTATAAAATTACCTGTTTATTTGCACAGCATAAATAGAACTATAAAATATGAACTATGACAAATTTAACTGAAAGTTAAGTAACATGAAATGAACTTTGGATAATTCAAAGAAAACCTGAGCATCTTTCCTCAGGAAATAGGAAAATACCTTTATAACATTGCTTAATGTTACCTTTTACTATGTAAGGTTAGATAGTAATCTATTTATTACCTTTACCAACTAAAGTTACCTTACTAAGTAGCTACTGTTACCTTGTCAAATGAATCTCCATCCTGTTTTTCAAGTTTAAACCCAGAAACATAGCACAAATTATGTGCTAGGTTTTATTTATTAATATTATTTATTATACCATAATAAGAATTTCTAGTTACATTCATTACTTATCACTCTGAGGACATAAAAAGTTATTCTTTTACCTTTTTCATTGAACGTAATCCCTTACTGGATCTAGTGGTCACTCCTGTAACATAGCAATATTTTATCTTTGCTCTACTTGTATTTTTATTTGAAATATTTGCTAGACTTCATGTTTTGTAGGAATGGCAGACACCCTAACATGTCTTTTACAGTTAGGAAAAAGAAAAGTCTATTAAAAACTTTAAACAGAACTGCAGGCAATAATCATCATCAGTCATTATCATCATCATCTTTACAATATTTTATATTATGCTGTCAAATCACCTTAGAAGTCCAGTGTATCATTTAGTAATTTGTCAACTTAGTAGTCTTTTCAGGCAAAGAAAGGCTTTTTATAGCCTAACTTTCTAGAACTGTCAAGGCATCCAGAGTGAACTTTATGAACTTCATTTGACCCTCTTACTGCAGAGCTTTTGAAGCTAAACTACATGGGGAAAATAAGGCTTTTTCTTTTTGTTGACTGTGTTGAGAAAGAAAGGAAGTTACGATTATTCTGGTATTGCAGTGCTAACATTTGAAATCACATACTTTACTGTATGCACCAAATACTCTTGAAACTTCTCTTCAAACTCCCAGAGCATACAAACTTTCTTTATTACCTTAAGAACACACACTGATAAGAAGCAGCAGATTTACGAATCCCCTTTGGTGTGTGTGTGCACATATATATATATATATATATGTAAACTGTATATACACAGAGTAACAAAAAAAGGAACACACAGACAAAACCACATATACATACACACAGACAAAAAAGGAACACTTATAGAATAATGCCAGTTTTATCTGCATGCTTGTTTAACACTAAACACATGCCTGCAACATCCTTTATCTTCTCTAGGCAACATGAAAAGTTTTTGAGAATACAATTTTTCTTCAGAATATCCAAAATCAGCTCCTACTGCAAAGCTCACATGGCATATGATTATCATTTATGTTGTCAAGACTCCCTAAAAACATCCTTGATTAAATTCCATAAATTTTGCATACTTTTCTGCAGTCAATTTACTTTGGTGAATTTACTTACTACATAGACCCAATATATCTGTCCTAAAGATGGCTCTAGTTCAATTTCTCTAAGCCTCGAGATCCATTACAAAAAGGTGCCGTAACAGGTACTTCACTAAAACACTTTTTCTTTAGGTATACAAGCACACTTTCAAAACCCAAGAAACTGACATTTAAAATTTGTTTTCTTACTCTTTTTCATACTGTCTTTGTAAGTAGAAAAGAAACTCAGCTACATCAAATATAATAACTTGCATTTGAAATTTCATCATACTTTTTCAAATGTAGCACTGCAAAAATAATAGTCTGATTTAAAAAGCCCATTGTTCACATCAGGAAAAAAGATCTTCCAGCTTTTATGTCTCAAAAAATATACTCTCCTACTTGACAGAATCATAATGCCAGAATACATGACTTACTCTTTTCATAATTCCTTGCCCTTCCAAACTCAAAAGAAAGCATCTGGTTTCACTGCCCAAAGATATTATCTTTCTGTGACACAGATAATTTGAAATGAGTGTTCAGACATATAGAAATTATGTTACTTGTCCTACAGTCTTCGTAACAAAATTAGAATAACTTGTGGAAATCAACATATTCAAGACAAACCAGTCTGCATCAAAGTCTTGTTTATACTGTGAATTAATAAAGTAGTAGAATGTTTAGAAAAAATACAGCAAACTATTTTTAAGAACAGCAGAGCAAGAAGCTTACCTTTTCTTATTTCATAAAAACTCCTTTCGCATTAATTCTTAAAACAACATAAATCCTAGACCGAATTCCTAAAGTAAATGCCATACTTATACTAGGATGTAGTTTACTTGTAGCTTAGCTCTGTAGGTTAAGTCTCTCTCTTTATTAACATAGCTGCAAAATCCCACCAAAACATTTTTCTCCCTCTTCTTTACCTGAGCATCAAACTTGGTGTTTAAGTCTGTCCGAAGCAAACTCTGCTGTCCATATTTCCCTGTTGCTGGTCACTGCTAATAACACATTTGTGACCGCCCCCTTAACAAGGCGCTCAGTCCGTCCACAGCACAGAGATGTGAGAGAGACCGAAGCCCTTGTGTCCATTAGTTGCTTGGAATGTGCTGCTATGGGATTAGTCTCATTAAGGGTTAGGTGGACGCTTACCCGAGCCTGACAACATCACTTGGTTTGAACATCTAATCTGATGCCAAAAGAAAAACAAATCCCCCGAGAGCTTGGATTTAACTGGCACAAGCCTTGATGGGCTTTTTTCCCCTCCTCTTCTTTCTCTCCTAGAGAGTGATCTTGCGAAAGTGTGATAAGGTGCTCTGAGTTCTTAAATTCAATCCAGGAAAACAAATCCTTCAAAAGAAACAGTGTACTAAGCTGGAAAGAACCTGAGCACACAAGAGAGGTTGCTAATCTCCAAAGAATGAAACCACTGTGTTTCTTGGGTAACTGCAACAAATCTATGCACAGTTGAAATATACTGCAATTAATCAACAATGGCATTTTTCCAGAGAAGCTGTGGTTTCTTCTTGTTTCTCAACACAGTTGCTGTACTGTAGTAACTTTTCAGAAAGTCATAAACATAAATCTTTGTCTTTCAGAGACAAACAACTGCATTGTTTTCAGCTTAATTGAAAGTTAGTAACTTAAAACGCAACTTGAATGTTTATGAATTTGGAGACTACTTCTTTACTGTACCCTCTTGATATCAACACTGAAGAATAACCTTTCCCCATAAATAACACTTAAATTTTTTTATTACATAGCAAATATTTATCTGTTCAAATACTTAGTTTTCCAAATATAAAATATTTTTACCCCCCACCCCAATTTTGAATGAATTCCTCTCTACTCCTACATATGCATACATACACTCCTTTCCTTTTCAATAAGGTTGCACGTAATGCATAGAAAATATGCTGTTCACCCTTGTCACTGATCTATACACAAACACTAAATTATTCTGTATGTACTTTAGCTCTGACGGGCTAGGATGGGCAAGACTCAGCATATGCATTAACTTCTAAACTCTTTATACCATAGCACATGTTGAGAAGCTTCTGCTAGGCTGGTTGATCCATGAGATTTTTTTTTCTTTCTTGATTCCCTGTGGTTTTGTGTAAAATACATACACATATTTTTTATGTAAATTATATATGAGGTATGTACATATGCCCATTCTGTCTGAATATATATGTATACATACATTCTTTTCTGGCAAAGCTGTGAGATTTCTCTACCACACAGTCCAGAACAACAGAGACCATGTGCGCATCATGTGATATTTCTTTAGCACAGGATCAGACCAAAGACGGAAAAGAACAGCAAGGCAGAGAAAATTGCATTGCCAAGGGAGCAGCTAGTAAACAGCTCAATGAGACAAACAATATGACTGGGGAGTCAGCAAGAAGACTGCATGTTAACACAAGGGAATTTGGTTTGTTTGAGAGGGTGTAGAAAGGGTGAGGGGAGGAAAAAGATTTGACATGACTGAGATAACCGAGTAAAAATCCAAATCTGACTTGGAAGTGAAACTTCAGTCCTTGGACTTGACAAGATTTTAAAGATTGTTCCGGATTCGGGTTTCAGCTTGCAAAGTAGCCTGGGCTGAAGCCAGATCTTTCACCCTGATACATCAGCACAAGAAACAACATTTAT